AGTCCCTACGTGGTCCTTCCGTTGGTCACGCTCCAGGAGAACCTCAGGCAAAGTGTTCAAGGCTGGGAGGGGGCGGGAAGGGTGGAAAGTGGACATAAAAGACATTGTTCTATGAAAAGGAATGATTACATATGGCCCATACATACAGGATATTGTCTCGCCTGGTAATGAGGAGCTCATGACCATTAGATTGGCCTTTGTTCAGTTTATCCAAACTCCTTGACATACGCCAGCCACTTATTCCGCAAACGCCAACAGATGGGCCCAGGCCCAGCACAGGCTCAGCACTTGATTTAAAGCAACAGCTGCTCTCTGCTCTGTCTCTTCCCTGGCCAGCCTGCCTGAGCTCTGCTCTCCCAGTGAAGATCTGCTCCGAAGGCCCGAAGGCCCGGAGGAAGTCTTCGTTGGAAAGGCTAGATCACCCCTCTTAGCTTCTAAGTAACCCCAGATGATGCAGATGGTGGTAAAGTTGATCATCTGGGGACTTCTCGGGGTTCTCGCTATAGTGAGGCTACAGAACTCAGTTATTCGCGGGAACCAAGAATACTACTTCTTCCCATACCGCTGTTCAAAACCTGAGTTTTGCCTTAGTGGCGCTGACGCTTTCTTTCTTGCATGTTCACCTTTCACGGGGTCGCTTTTCTACTCTTTTCTCGCTCAGGGGAGGAGCGCTACATTTGCTGGTACTGCTGGAGGACGTTTAGATACCCCAACAGCCTTAAGGCTCATCTACGTTTCCACTGCGTGCTCAGCAGCGGCGCGGGGCGCGCCTACCTGCACCAAGAGCACGGGGCTCGCCAAGGCGCCGCCGCGGATGGCCTTGGCCTCTCTCCAAAACCCCAGGTGCCGGACTTCGCCGCGGCCAGCCCGGCAGGCACTCTGCGGCCTCACCTGCAGGCCCCACTGCCTGTCCAGGCCTGCGGAACCAGGGAGAGCATCAAGCGCGAGGTCTCCTCTGCGCCCTCGACCACCTCGCCGCCCCTCTCCAAGTGGGGGCTGTCCAAGAAGAGCAAGGAACATCTTGACCGGGCCCTGGACGTGAGCGGGGCCGCCCGGGGGAACGGCCACTTTCTGGGAATTGTAGGTGGCTCTCCTGCAGGGGGAGGCGGCCTGGCCTTATATCCCGGTGTGCGCTCGGCTTTCAAGCCCGCGGGTTTGGCGAGGACGGCGGCGACAGCGCCTGGCGACGCCTATCGGGAGGAGGGCGGTGGCAAATCGGGGACCGGCCTACTAGGCGGGGGTCGGGCGGGAGGGCGCCCCGGAAGCAGGGAGAACGCGGCGGCGGGCGGCGCGGGCCAACACCAGCACCACCACGCCCACCACCACCACCATCACCACCACCACCCCAAGTGCCTGCTGGCGGGGAATCCGCCTCCGCCTCCTCCGCCGGGTTTGCCCTGCTCCGGGCCGCTGCGTGGCTTCCCTCTGCTCCCTGGCCCCCCGGAAGAGGCGTCTGCCTTCAAGCACGTGGAACGCGCCCCGCCAGCCGCGGCCGCACCCGCTGGAGCGCGTTTCGCGCAGCTGCCTCCTGCGACTGGCCTGCACCTCGAGCGATGCGCGCTGCCGGGCCTCGACGCGAGTGGGCTCAAAGCCTACCCGGGTAGCGAGTGCAGCCACCTGCCTGCCGTGATGCCGGCCTTTACTGTCTACAACGGAGAGCTACTGTATGGCTCAACGGCCGCCGCTGCTTATTACCCGCTCAAACTGCACTTCGGTGGACTGCTCAAATATCCAGAGTCCATCTCCTATTTCAGCGGGCCCGCGTCGGCTGCTGCGGCAGCGGCCACGCTGAGCCCGGTGGAGCTAGGCTCCCTGACCAGCATCGACCGGGAGATTGCCATGCACACGCAGCAGCTCTCCGAGATGGCGGCTGGGAAAGGCCGCGGCCGCCTGGACGTAGGGACGCTGCCACCCGCCGTCGTGGCTTCGGGTGGCGCGGGGAGTGGTGGCAGCGGGGGCGGCGGCGCGGGCAAGCCCAAGACTGGCCACCTGTGCCTCTACTGCGGCAAGCTGTACTCACGCAAGTACGGGCTCAAGATCCACATGCGGACGCACACGGGCTACAAGCCGCTCAAGTGCAAAGTGTGCCTGCGGCCCTTTGGCGACCCCAGCAATCTCAACAAGCACATCCGACTGCACGCGGAGGGCAACACGCCCTACCGCTGCGAGTACTGCGGCAAGGTGCTGGTGCGGCGCCGAGACCTGGAGCGCCACGTTAAGTCCCGCCACCCAGGCCAGAACCTGCTCGCCAAGGCGGGCAACGGTCCAGGCACAGAGCCTGACTACCCCCGGGAGCCCGGGGAGCCCAAGAGCGACAACGACAGCGACGTGGACGTCTGTTTCATGGACGACCAGAGCGGCCCTGAAGCCGGGGTTGGCGGCGAGCGCGTCTCCTAACCATTCTTCCCGAGAAGGGAAGAATGTGTGGGGCGCGTGGAGAGAGAAGTGGGGGTTCTGTACTGGAAGCAGAGGAGCTCCTGGTGATGAGAAGAAGGACCCTGTTGACAAAGTCGTTTTTATTTTGTTGGGGCGCCAGAGTTTGCAATAGTGAAATGTGCCAGGTCCGGTGCTGAGACGCAGAGCGAGGGTTAAGAGGAGGCTTAAGGAAACTTGGCGTCCCGGGGAGCCTGTGGGCCTGGGTCCTGGCGCGCTCAAGGACACAGCGGACAGGCTTCCCCACAAACACCCAGGCCGACTGCTCTCGAGGTTTAGGGTCACGTTAATGTGAACGTCACCGGTGCCCTCGAGGGCGCCCACTTTAACTGCCACAAATTTTAAAATTGTTCTTTTCTGTGGAGGATATTGTGCCTTTTGAAACGATGTTTTGTGGGTGTATTTTACATTAGCATTTCACTGCTTAGGCAAAACAGTAGTCACAATTGGGTAGATGTGGCATCCACACACCTGCCTCCATTTCGTCTGTTCTGTCAAAGACTGCGCTTTGCCACATTGAATATACAGTGGTCGCAGGTGTACAAATTGGTCAAGTTGCAATTATTTATAAGAGAATAATGACAAATGTAAAATATCTAAAGCATGAAGTTAAGAACACACAATATATAATTTTTAAAAAATGTCCTATTTGGTAGAGTACAAATGTGATGTATGTTGTTTTATAAATAATGATGTACAGTGGATTCAGTGTTTTGGTCTTGGTTCCCGTTTGTGCAATCTTTAATAAAAATAAAGACACAAATGAGACTTGTCCACTTAATGATTTAAACAGATTCTTTACAGAAATAGTTTAGTATAGAAACAATGTTAGAGGAGATGCCATAAATCATAGGACACTCGAATGATTTGAGTTTTCATAAAATAAGTGTTAAGTCGTGTTGTAATAAGAAAATACACCATTTTCAATATGTGCATTTCATGGGCTCCCAGATAGCAGGCAGGAAAATTGTTTTCTGAAACCATTGTTAATCATACTAAGTGTCTTTATGTTTCTGGAAATAAGCTAATGACCTTCAAGAAAAAACACACATACATTTCTTGTCAAAAAGAATTATGGAACTGTAGAATTACTACTTCCTGTTACGTGCCAGTTTGACAAAACTAAAAAACCAAGGAAACTTGCTCAGTACCTTTCGTGATGCACACACTTTTTAACATTCACACAACAAATACTAAATGAGGATCTATTTTTATTGGAGGTGCTGATCTATTTACACAATTTTTTTCTCCTTGGAAGAACAACCTCATGATGTGGGATGGGTCCTATTTTACAGAAGAAAATAAATACACTCTTCAAGGTCACTGGGAGGCCCATAGTTAGAACAGCAATGTTAGAAGCAGCCACTTTATCCAAGGGTATTAGAATTAATGCTAGCTAACGGAGGATATAATTTTGTGGGTTAAAATTGGAAAGTACTCTTTCCCCATCCTTCCCTGTCCCTGCACCACCCCCATCCCTCCACATACACTCTGGGGAGGATTACTCTGCAGTTATACAGAGAACGGAGTATTAATCATTTCCTCAGCTAAGGACAGGTACCGTAAGAGCCCAGGCTGCAGTGCCCTTCTCAGAAGATGGTGGGGAGATTCTAATAAGTCACTGAAGGTTCTGGATGTGCTTCTGATGATTTAGTCTGTTAAATGCCCTGTATTTTTGGACTCTGAGCACTGCAGCGGTCTTCACCCTGCTCCCTCCCAGTAGGGAGCATGGCCTCAATCACTGGGCGGCTTGCAGGGGGGCTTTCTGACTCCTCACGTCAGGAGACATGATTGGGAGGGAGGGCATCTGATTGGGTGGTGATCAGTAAAACAATTTCTTCTATGAGAAAACTTTTGCTGGGAATTATTGGCTTCTTATTTATATTGAGATTTTTTAAAATGTTAATTGGCCAGAAGATGTTTTGCTTTGCAAAAGGCAGCCCAAAGAGAAACAAAAATCTGTGGATTAACATGTACATATGGTGACAATAATACTACATTTACTTTTTTATTTTTAAAGATTTCATTTATTTTTAGAGAGAGGGAAAGGGAGGGAGAAAGAGAGAGAAAATTTGATGTGTGAGAGAATCATCTGTTGGTTGCCTCTCACACACTCCCAACTGGGGACCTGGTCTGCATTCCACGCATGTGCCCTGACTGGGACTCCAACCCTTGACCTTTCTTTCGTTCCACAGGCCAGCACTCAATCCACTGAGCCACACCAGCCAGGGCTAATAATACATTTATTGAGGACCCACTCTCTTCCAGACCCTTATGCTATTTGCAGTTCTTTCTTCTTTCCAGATGACTGTGGGCCCCATCATGTTCAGAGAGCTTTGCCACACAGAAGTGAACCAAGCATCTGCCTGTTCGGCCTGGCCTCCAGGGGCCCGGGGCTCCTCACTAACTGCTTAGTATCATGTTCCCGCCATTTGAAGCAACTATTGCTTAAAACCACATCTACTCTTATAGATAGAAAAACTTTTCTGAAATCACATAGTGTTAACCACCAGGAAAGTGGGAAGGGCTGTCCAGGTTTGAAATGTAGGAAAAATTAAAATATTTAATTTATTTTTTAATGCCTCATGAGTTTGTGTGTCCTCCTTGTGCAGGGGCCATGCTAGCCTTCTCTGTATTGTTCCACTTGTAGTCTATGTGCTGTTGAAGCGAACACAGTGGACGTTTTCGTCAGCTTTAAAAGTCATATTTTTGTCTCCTATTTCCTAGTTCAGGACTAAGTCCTCTAACTCTTGTTGTATGAAAATAGACTCTAAAGAAATCAGTTAAAAATAGTTTGGTAAAAGGAAATACACTTAAAATTGATAAAAACTTCATAAAACAGACAAAAACAACAGCCCCAAGTCTTCTGTTTTCCCCTTTGTAAATTAATACCTGTATCATATAAAAAATGAAAATTGAACACAGATCTAAAAGACTCTTAATTGCAGTTCATTTGTGATTCTCCACAGGTTGCATAGTATAACCTGTGTACATGTCCATGGATGCATGCACCCTTATACCTAATTAATACAATTATTTATTTTAATGGCAAGGTCAAATCAGTGATATACAATCAGCAACAATATCACTTATTTCAAATAGCTCAGTTGAATTATGTTTCTCAGATTATTTCTTTCGATCTCCTCTCTCCCCCACCCTCACTCCCAACCCTCAATCCTTCTCATCCTGATGACCACGACTAACTCTGAGGGTTGTGCTAAAGCCATGGGAAGTTTCTGAGATTTTAACTGAATATTTTGTGCCTAAGGGTTTTTTTTAAAGGAGGATTCATGCCTTTTAGAAGTGAAAGACTCTAGATTGTTTGGGCCTGGTCGATTTGGATATTAAAATGCTTTGCTAATCTTAAATAAACCAGTCAGAGGTGAGTTACAGGCTGGCCTCCATTCTCACTCGTTTGACATCTCAGGCTAATTTCTTTGTTGCTTCAATTTCCTAACCTGTAAAACAGGGTGAAATAAACAACAAGGTAGTTGTAAAGATTGTGTTAATGCTGGTGAACTGCTTAGAATCAAGCACGATGAATGGTAAGTTCTCAAAGAACCCTGTGCGAGTGGACTGCAGGAGGAGGAAGGGGGGAAAGACGAGAAGGAAGGAAGAGAAGGGGAGAGAAAGAGAGAGCAGAGATTGAAAGAGACCCAGAGACAATCTTTATAAAATGAAGAGGGAGGAGGAGGGAGAGAGAGGAAGAAGAGAGGGAAGGGAAAGGAAAGGAAAAGAAGAGAAGAGAAATGGAGGGAAGAGATGTGAGTTTGTGCACAGGAGCTGGGTATGTGTGTGTGTAGGGGGTGGTCTCTTTGGCTTCCCTACTCCCTCTTTAAACCACTCAGAGCTTGCAGGTAATTCAACATCTGGTAGGGTCCAGCCTTTTTTTTTCCCTTCAATATTTAAACAAACTTTTTTTTTTAAATTAGAGGAGAATTGGCCCTTCTCTTTTTAAAAAAAATATTTTATTTATTTATTTTTAGAGAGAGGGTAAGGGAAGGAGAAAGAGAAGGAGAGATACATCAATGTGTGGTTGACTCTAATTTGTCCCTTGTTGGGGACCTGGCCTGCAATCCAGGCATGTGCCCTGACTGGGAATCGAATCAGCGACCTTTTGCTTCACAGGGCCATGCTCAATCCACTGAGCTACACCAGCCAGGGCTAAACAAACTTTTAAATTATAATTCATTATAATCTTATGGACCCACAAGCCAAACACTATATGCCATCTGTCAATCACTGAAGCTCTTTATGCTTGCATAACTATGTTAAAATAACTTTAGCAACTCTGCGATTTCATCCTGAAGACATCAAGGGACCAGATGAGGGCCACTGCCCTCATATAGAAGCATTAGCATCTTCTTACAAGGGCACTGGATGGATCCCTCCCTTCTTGGTTCACTTTTAGTCCCTGATAAACTCAAATTCCATTAAATAAAACTCTTTCACACTTTTGCTAAAGAAACATTTTTTTCAGACTCCCCTGTCAAGCCATCTTCCTATTTTGAGCACAAACACGGAGGTTAAATGAATAGGAAGAATACTCTTTGTTTTCACTAGTTTTTGAAATGCTCGGCTGTGACAAGTCGGCAGAAGAACGCAGCGGAGGTGCACCTCCTCTCCTAAGCCTGACAGAGAGGAGCAGATGGCAAGCGCTGCAATTCCTCCAAGTTCTACTCTGGGGAAAGTTTATTTACTGTCTAGATTGTAAGACAAGGAGGTGAGTGGAGGTGGAGCTCCAGGTTAGAACTGCGGCTCAGGTGAGTTCAGGGACCGAGATTGGTGGTGCTGATGCTGGGGTTCCAGGCCAGAGCGGACGGTGATTAGCCGAGACTCTTTATAGTCCGAGCGATTTAATCGGCTCATCTTTCGGACCCAGAGTTGCAAGTGACAGCGAGCTGGCCGAGCGCGAAGGTCTGGACAGGCGCTGCCTCCTGGGAACCCTTAGCCCAGTGGCGGCGTGGCCGCGTGGGTAGGTGCTACAGTGTCGGCCAGCGCGTGTAGCGCTGTTGTGGCTCACAGCTTTGCTGTCGCTGGCAACAAGGGCTTTCGGGGTCCGGGTTGGGGCAGAGATTTGGGAGTCTCCCAGCGTTTAGGTGTGCAGTCAGGAGACCCAGAAAGGCGGGGGGCCGGGAGCCACTCCCCGCCCCCTCAACCCCCACGGCGCGCCCGGCTAGTCCTTGTTTAAGTGCCTCTGCTGGGCTCTGCGGAGGAGCTGCGGCACCAGTGCAGAGCGCCCTCACCATCTGCTGTTTCCCCAAAGGGAAGCGGGCAGAGGCACTGGCGCCGTCGAGGGGTCAGACTTGACCCTTGGCCACCCAGGTGTGAGTTGTGAAGGGGAGTACTCAACAGACGGCGGGGGCCACCGTATTTAGTTCCAGAAGGAGCGTGGCGCTCGCTCTGGGGTGGGTGACCTTCCTACAAAAGATGAAAGGAGCGCTTCTGTCATCTGCGACTGTAGTTTAATTCAAATTAGGTGTAACTGGTTGGGGATAGACAACTTGTTAATGCCTTTGGCTTGCAAACTATCCGCATTCCCTTCAAAAAGGGACCGAGATGGATGGACTGTATATATGGGTGCGAACCCTTTGAAGACACTGATTTTATTTCAAGTACAATTTGTTTTAATTGTTTAAATTTAAGCTTTCATGTAAGTAGATAAAAACTAAAGTGCAAGTTATTAAAGAATATAAAAGTGATAGTATAAAGACAGATTTTTGGTAATCACAAACAGATTAACAGGACTGTTTTCGTGTAGAGTGAGGAAACTTAATAAAAAATATACTAGATATCCAAATGTCATGAGTAGTCACTACTTTTCTCCTATCCACACATTCTTTCACATAATTCAGTATCGCGGGAAATGGCTGCAAACACACGTTTCCTATTCTTAATGTTGGCAGTACAGTAACGTTCTCAGAAGCTACTTTAAGTAGAGAATGATTTAAATTACAATGTTCCATGACAAGCTGTGTTTGAACGGGAGGCACTCAATTCCAGTGATTTGCGTAGAGAGTCATAGGTGGAAATGTCGAATGTGACAGGACATATAGTGAAGGGAGATTCAATGGCAGATGGCTTTGCATAAGAACATAGTGAAGGTCAAAGACAGCTTTTAATCTTTCTTTTTTAAATCCCTGACAACCGGCAGAAAGATAAGCTTTTATACTTGACACTGAGCAGTTGATTCTGAATTTGAATTATCACCTTAAGGTAAATGGAGACATGACCAGGTCAGGTTTAAGCTCACTTGAGTGCATTGAACTCAATGTAGCAGAATACATCTGTGAGGAATAAAATACTTTCAGGCATGCTAAAAGTCAATTCAATGAGAATTGAATCAATGCAGGATGTTGCATTTTATAAGCCTATTTGTAATTTCCAGAAAGCTGGAGAAAGAAATGCCTTAGCAATCAAGATTTAGAGAAAAGAAAATACATTAAGATTATGTATATCTATATACACACATATATGTATATACATACCTATATGTATATATGTATATACCTATATACATATAGGTATGTATATACACACATACATATATATACACACACACACTGTTAAAACTAACATGCTAATATGTGATCTCAGAGTAATGGCCTTGCCATTTATAGGTGTTTGTACACTTATGTTGTTTTGAAAATCAATTTGTTTATTATTGCCTTAAACAAATTGGTAGTTTTAGACTTCATGATATGCATATTGGCCAATATCTCCTCATAAAGTGAGAAAAAACAGCTTTGCCTTGAGGTTTTCTTGGCAGCACTCATTTAATTAAATCTCCATTATCTGTTTAATCTGTACAGCAACCTATTTCATAGGTAAAGGAAATGAGGTTTACATTGCACAACCAGCTAGAAACATCCCCCAGATTTTTCCTAGCCCTGCCCACTTCACAGCCTCACTCTCAAAATGCTGCTATATGTCCTCTTTATTTCTTTAAAAATATTTTATTTATTTTTTAGAGAGAGGGGAAGATAGGGAGAGAAACATTGATGTGTGAGAGATACCCAAAACTGGGGGTCTAGCCTAAAACGCAGACATGTGCCCTGACCAGAAATCAAACCCAGCAACCTTTGGGTTTGCAGGCTGGCACTCAACCTACTGAGCCATACCAGCCAGGGCTATATGTCCTCTTTAGAACACTGTCATCTAATGTTAGAAGTGTTCAGAAATTTAGTTTGCATCTTCTGTAACTAGATCCAGTGACTGTTTTAAAGGATAAAGATAAGGTGAATTGAATGACCAATGGGTTCCAAGGCTTTTTCAGTTATACTAGACTTAAATTAATGATCATTTTGGCTTGTTATATACTTGAAATTATTTGAATTCTGGTAAATCCCTATAATGCTAAATTGTTCAGTTCAGTCTAGCCTGGCTTGGTCTTAATAAACACAGAGACGTGTGTGTAAGAGTGAGTATACAGTGACTTACCTGTGGTCCTAATGATCCTAGAAAGACAAGTATGATAGCATGATTCTGTTGAGAATTTCAAGACTAACTCTGCCCTGAGATAGAATCCCCAAATTCCCAAATTAGGACCTAAAAATTTCCCAGTCTTCAGTCAATTTTCAAACTTTTTTCCACATGTAGCTGGCTGGATTTCTGGGAGTCTGGGCCAGGCAAGGTACAGGGGTGGGGCTGGGTTGGCCTAAAGCTACTCTGCTG